CTTGCCCAGGCTCACACACCTATTAAATGTCAAAGGTGGATTTGACCTTAAGACTTCCTGTCTCCAGGCCCAGCGTTTTATCCATTTCACACATCCTCAAGGGAACCGTCTGTGAGGAGCTCACCTAATTTTTGTTGTTGTTCAGTCGCGTTCAGCTCTTCGTAACCTCCATTTGGGGTTTTCTTAGCAAGGATTCTAGAATGATTTGCGATTTCCTTCTTCAGCTCATTTTACAGATGAGGGAGCTGAGGCCCAACAGAATGATATGACTCACCCAAAGTCATCTAGATTAATAAGCGGCAGAACTGAGATTCAAACACAGGTCCTCTGACTCAGAATTCCATGCTTTTTCCAAAGAAAACCCCGGGTAGAGCTCTATCTGGGCTTCTTCAGTCCTGGCTCCCTTTCTACTTGGGGACAAAAGATTAGAGAAGGGATTTAAGAAATCACTCCTTTCCATCTCTTCTTTTTGCACATGAGGAAACAGAAGCTCAGAGAGTAAAAGAGACTTTACCCACAGGCGGCAAATTTTTTAAAATCTCAGTGTTAGCAGGGATAGCTAAAGGTCGTCTAGTTCAATTGACTCCAAGAGTAATAATGAAGAGGCAAGTTGATCTAGTAGACAGAGCACTGGTTTTGGAGTCAGGTTTTAAATCTCACCTCTGACGCTCATTAGCTATGTGACCCTGGGCAAATTACTTAGTCTCTTTGTGACTCCGTTTCCTCACGTTTAAAAAAAGTTCAGACATAGCAGTCTTTAAGGTCACTTCCTAATCTAAGTCTATGATCCTATGAATACTGGCAGATTCAAATTAGAATCTAGGTCTTCTAATTCCCTTTATTTTATTTTACTTTTTGGAGGCAATCAGGGTTAAATGACTTGCCCAGGGTCACCAGCTAGTAAATATCAAGTGTCTGAGGTCAAATTTGAACTCAAGTCTTCCTGACTCTGGAGCTGGTACTCTATCCACTGCACTACCTAGCTGCCCCTCAGGTCTTCTAATTCATAATCCAGAACTCTCTTGCTCTCTCTTTTCTTTTCTTTTTCTTTAAGCTACATTCATTTTACTTCTTCCCATGGCATCTTCTTCTTTTTTTTTTAATTTTTAATTAATTTATTTTGAATTATCAACAATTTCTTCCATAAGCTTTTGAGTTTTAAACATGGCATCTTGTTCTGTTGGCAGCCTTCCCTTTCCCTTTCCCTTTTTCTCATGTAGTAATTCCCTGACAGCTCAGGGTCCCAATGCAGAGTCCTCATTCCACTCTCCTATCCTATTCCCTCTCCCTCTGCTTACCCTCTATCTCATCCTGCAGGATCTGATTAGTCTATAAGAGACTGACTAATAAACCAATTCTAGCTAAGACAAGCAAAGAGGGGATCAGAGAACCACAGGTGTAGAGTTAGAAGTGACCTCCGAGGCTATCTAGATGAACCCCTTCGTTTTATAGTTGAGAAAACTGAGGCCCAAGGCGGTTAAGTGACTTGCCTAAGGTTATACAAGTAGTAAACCATATGTAAAAAACAGGGATAATAGTAGCACCTATGTCACAGGGTTGTTGTGAAGGTCAAATGGGATAATATTTGTGAAGCATTTTGCAAACATTAAAGACTTATATAAATCTTAGCTATTATTTCGTGCAAGTCTATCCATGTTTTTCTAAGATCATCAAACTCATCATTTCTTATAGCACAGTAGTATTCCATGACAATCATGTATCACAACTTGTTCAGCCATTCCCCAAATGGCGGGCATCCCTGCAATTTCCAGTTCTTTGCCACCACAAAGAGTGCTGTTATAAATATTTTAGAATATAGGTTCTTTTTTCCCCCTAATCATCTTTAGAAATAGATCTAGTAGTAGTATTTCTAAGTCAAAAGGCAGTTAATAACTCTTTGGGCATAATTCCAGATTGCCTTCCAAAATGATTGCATCAGTTCACAATTCTACCAACAATTCCACCAATAATGAATTAGTGTCCCAATTTTTCCACATATAGTAACAACAATATTGTTTTAAGAACAACTTTGAGCAAATAAGTAATTTTGACTATTATAAATACTCAAATTAACTACAAAGGACACATGAAGGAACATGTCATCTGCATCCAGAGAAAGAACTGATAAGTAGAAGTATGTATAGAATGATTTGATATATATGTGTATACACACACACACACACACACACACATATACATATATACATATTTGTGTCTAATGGTAGCCATCTCTAGGGCAAGGGATGGGGGAAGAGAGGAAAAAAAGGAAAAAAAAAGAAATTTACATAATGACTTTATTATATATTTAAAAGGAATAGCAAGTTATACAAATTGATTTGTAGTTTCATGTGCAATCATTGTTTTTATTATACTGTGTTGTAGAAATGCTTGTTTTATTCCATAAATTAATATATATATATGTTAGCTATTAGTAGGCATCTTTCCAATGAACTGTGTTGAACTTCTTAATGGTGACATTTGCCTTCTAATGACAAAGCTTTATGCTAAAGGAATGAATTTGAAATGGTGAAATGGTCCTGCCCATTTGGCAGAAAGTATCTTTCCTGAGGGTATAGATGTCTTTGGGCAGGGGGCTTTGAGGCAGGTAGCTCTCAGGTCTAAACACAAGGTCTACATTGCCTAAAACTATAATAGGGTCCTCTTTCCCCCCACTCCCCTCCACATACCCCTCTAGCCTGGACCCTTGGAGCCACTTACTACTTGTATGACCTTTGACATATAAGATTCTCTCTGGGTCTTAGTTCCTCTTCTATGAAATGAGAAACTTGGACAAGAGCTGATGTTTAAGGTCCCTTCCAGCTCCAAATCTGTATGATTCTAGCAGAAAATGCTGACAGTGGAGGTGGAGATGGGGACAAGAGAGATGAAAGTGCAGCCAGGGAACAATGACAAGAAGGTCTTGGCATGGCCTAAGATCTCTATCTAAATCATAGTTACAGTGACCTAAGGCAAAGTTAGAGGAATTCAACCTCCACAGTCATTGCCCTAGGAAGGATTCTGGGATCCTTTAGAACTAATATCCCCTTATCAGAGATCTGCCTACTTGATGACTCTGTAGAAACTGCCAAGTTAGCCAGGGCAGAAGGCACAGCAGATAGTGTGTGTTGTGGGGGACCTGGAACAAGATGGGGGAGGGGAAGAGGAAGAGTCAGAGGGAAGCCTTGGGGACTCTGGAATATCCTAAATTCCAAAATCTGTCACAGAATTACTACTATGAATTTCAACCTCTTTGGAATTCAAATTTCTCACATGAGATCTTCCCCCCATCTTCTTCACCTTTTTTTTTCCTCTTTTGGTCTTGTTGTTGTTTGTTCTTCTGTTCTCAAAGAGGACATTGATTTCTAGAAGGTGATGCCATGACTTGCAAGTGAATTGGATTTAAGTGAGTCAGAGCTGTGCAAAGTCACCAGCCTCACTTTCTTCCCTAGAGCCATCTTAGTCCAGTGGCAAGATATAGATCAGGACAACTGCAGATGGCCTCAGATGCAGTGAGAGATCTCGTTCCTTTTAAGATAAGGTCTTTCCTAGGTCTCAGTTTGTCCAAGGCGATGCTCACTCAATGATTAAGGCTAGGTAAGAAATTAGGCAAAAAATGGCTTTTTTCCTAGTCAAAAAAAAAAAATCATTCTGGAAGGGATCATCAGTTTCTGGCCAAAACAAAAACAATTGCTATTTATGCTCACTCTGAGCCATCAGAACCCAAACATGGACCAAGATAAGCTTGGGCTGGGACCTATTGATCAATCAGTGAGAGTCAGAGTGATTTAGGTTTAAGGCATGGTCCTTAAAAAAGGAAATCTAGCCCATAAATCCCAAGATATCTTGTGAGGTTTCAGCAATCAAAATTTATATTCCCTTGGGTAGAATAGCCACAGGTAAGGGTATGATTCCCTATGTGGACAGAGGGAGATGAGGGAGGGAGAGGGGGGGAGAGGAAGGAGAGAAGGGAGAGGAGGGTGGGGAAGGAAGGAAGGAAGGAAGGAAGGAAGGAAGATAGGAAGGAAGGAAAGAGCTATGTTGCCCAACTATAACTGGCCCCCTTGCAATAAGGGGACTGAATGAGATATAACCTCTGTGAAGACTTCTCAGGGTGGTGATGAAAAGACTGTCTCAAAACTAGAGATAAGCTCTGAGAGAACGAACAGGCCATAAGTTTAAATTACCTAAACCTATAGGAATTCGGCCCTAAACCCCATCCTGATTGCCACTGCCACGTCAGAATTAGGTATACTAAATAAGGACATGTATACTTAGATTGGCTATACCCTGTTTCCTTGTTCTTTGGGAATGGGAAAGATTTTCCTGCCTAGAATGTAAGCCCGCCTCCCAGCCAATGGGAATGGGAAAGATTTTCATGCCTAGAATGTAAACCCGCCTCCCAACCAATGGGAGTAAGGGATAGTGGCAGAGTGGGAGTTTCTTGTTTGCGTTAAGATATATAACCTTGCTTTGTCCTTTGTGCCTCACGTCTCTCCTGCTGGTAGTGTACTGGAGGAGTAGATGCCCCTTCTTGCGAGATTATAATAAAGAGTAACCTTTGCTTCCTTGAGAAGTCTCTGAGTTTAATTGTGTTAGAGTCACTGTCCCACACAGCTTTGGAGGTCCCACCAAGATTTTGCCCACTTGTGAGCGAGATTCCTATCTGGACCTTGGGGGTCCGGCGCCACCAGAGATTTCTCCGACAGCCTTCAGGCCAGACTTAGGGTGCTTTCACTCCACTTGGGTGAGAACTTGAAGAGAGAGCTTGTGTTGCGTGCCGGTGGGTCCCCTAGCTGACGTAGTGCACTTAGTCAGCTATCCCACCCAAGCCTTCGCTTACATACTCACCCCGCAGTCTTCGGACGTCTCCGGCACCCCCGTGGTGAGAGGGGAATGACTAGACAGAACACCCGAGTTGGCAGTTGTGTCTTTATTGATTACATTGCTTGCTAAACTAAACTTGCTCTGCTCGCTCCCTGCCCCAAGTCCTAACTCCTCACCCCCTCCTCGCTGCTCCTCAACTCCCCCGAACTCCTCCCCCCTATGCCCGTGCTCCTCCTCCGTTCCTTCTTCGTAGGTGGAGCTCCGTCCTGTTACAGAGGCCCTCCCAGTGCCCATTCGACGGTTGGTAAACATCATGCATCTCTGGGTAAGCCCAGGCGCTCCTGGGCAGGTAATAACCTCCAGGCATCTCAACTTCCCTACAGGAGGCCAGAGGTCCAGAGCAGGGCCCTAACAAGCTTGGGGAAGCAAAAATGAAAAAAAAAAAGTTAAACTCAGGACAGCAACAGGATTTTGTGAAGTTGGCTGGCCGCAGGCAGCGATTAAGATTGGATCAGTCACGTAAGTTGTACGCGTACAGCCCAGAGGTAAGCAACTCTTATGTCTCCTTATTAGTAAGTCTCTGACCTGGAGGGAAGGCAACAACCCTCGACTAAATTCACCAATTGCTGAGTCCCTGACTGGCGGTTTTGAGGCGACTCTGCCTGGCCAAATTTCTGGTGACATCGAGTGAGCACCCAGGTGACTGTGGGGAGAAGGTGACTTCTTCTGTTGATTAATTAATCATGTGCAAACAACAGTCTAAGTTAGCAAATCAGAAGCTGCCATTTGATATTTTGGAAGATAGCCCCTTAAGGGCTAGGTTTGGTGATTGGGATGAATTACCAAAAATATAGGGAACAGATTGAGTAATTAAGTGCACTATCAAAACAAAAAAAGGACAAGAAAATATAAACAGGATTTGTTTCATGACTTTGTTTCTGTTTGTCATTTGTCTGTGTGTCTGTGAATCTGAGACCCTATGGGGTATGGGAATGCAGCTGGATTTATTGCTTGGGAAAAAAAAAATGTTTTCTTTCTTTCTCTCCCCTTCTCCCTCCCTAGTTACAGCAGCCTCAGAGGAGCGGGTGGATGGGAGAGAGAAAGAGAGACGAATACTTTATTATTTAGGTTATATGATTGGTAAAAGGCGAGTCGAGAAAGATCTTTGAAGCTTCAGGTCAGAATTAGAAAGAAATAAGATATGTGTAGTTTTAAAGGGACTTTAATTAAAATCCATCAGAAGGAAAGGCAAAAAAGTTTAAGCATATAGGAATGAAAGGAGTCTGGGTAGGAAGAAAAGTATAAGCTATTTGCATTAACAGTGTGAACAGAGGGTTTGAGAGTAAAAGGTTTGGAAGCTTTTGGAAAATTCCTTTTAAAAAAAATTTCTCTCTCTCTCTCTCTTTACATTCTAACTCTGGCCAAGTTTTGAATGTGAAGGGAAAGACAAGAAAGAAAAGGGGAGAGTGCTTTTCTCTGGATTTGCAATTCTTATGTCCCTTCAGAGTTCAAAGCTGCCCCGGCCTTGGTGAGTATAATTTGGGTGGGGAAAGGGTGTTTTGAAAAACCACTTTGTAAGCCACTCTTGGATATTGGTTCTGGGTGACTTCAAGGGGTTTTAAAAATGTGAGGAAGTTTGACTCTGCTTTGGGTAGAAGAATTGAAAATGAAAATTTTGCAGCTCATTGTGATTGGATATTGTTGTTACGTAAACTGGGCTGTTCAGTTACTTATTGGAACTCTAGAGGCCTTCTGCCTAAGGGGAGAAAATTGATTACATCCAGTTAACATTGATTCAAATTGCTGAAGCCTGAGATTCTCAGGTGGGTGGCTGTATCTGATAAGCTGCTAAAAAGGACTGGGGACTTCTTTTTTTTTCTCTTTGCTTCCTTAAGGAAGTAGGAAAGAAAAGGAGGATTTAGAGCAGGAATTGTCACCATGCGTCTTTTTAAGGGAATATATAAATTTGTGGAAAATATTTCCTTTTAAAAGGCCAAGAGCACTGGATTTAAAACAAAATGTTTTTAAATGTTTATCATTAGTGATTATAAATTCAGATCTGATTGGATTTAAGTTTACTGTTCTATATAAAAAAATAATAATGGTTGTTATGAGATGCGGCATTATTAGTTAATGTTAAAAGTTAAAAGTGTAATAAGAGTAATAAGAGCGATCATTTCTATATGTGATAATATGGAAATGCAATTGATGTTATCTGAAGTTTATTGTTTAAGTTATTACTGTATTTCTAAATTGTATTGTATTTCTAAAACTCTTAGATTGTAAAATCTGAGGGACCATTATGAGGTAGAAATGGTGTTAAGGTAACTCTTGACCTGCAGTGGGTCTTTTAGTGATAAAGATGAGATAATTTGAAAACTGTTAAATACCTAGTGAGTTGTATTTGGTTATAAGACTATGATAGCAGATTTTATTTAAAATCTTGACTATTATAAAAACATATGGTGGTTTAAAGTTATAGTCTCAACATATTAATGATGAAATGAATGATTTTCTGTACAAAGTGACTTAGAAGTACATCCATCAAGGTTGATAATGGGTCGTTTCAAAGTTTATTGCAATTGTGGAAATAATTTTATAATGCATGCCCTGTGGTACTGATGAGGTTGGAATCTGAGCCCCAGAAAGGAAACACTATGGCCCCAGACCACTTCCCACCCTTGGTCCCACCTAGGCTCCATTTCCCATCCTTGGTAATTCTATTACCTCATGGACTCTGTACTTTCCCACATGGCCAAATCTCTGGCGTTCCCTGAGGCTATGGTCCCATCAACTGGTTTTTCATTGTGGCTACACCAAATCTCCTCTCTATTGTCTTGCCTACCAGTAAAAGGACAATGAGGGGCTAGCATAGATAATAGGAAAAAGCCAGGCTATAGGGGTGGGAATGGCCCCTGGAGGCTGTTGGACTAGGTGAAAGGGTTCAGAAAGAAAGATTTTTATTGGGTCTGCTTTAGGTTTTTAATATACTGCTTACTTGTTCCTGAATTTTCTTATATGATGTAATCTGGTAAGCAATTGTATTAGTTATGTTGCTGGAAGGGCAATTTCTTTTATAATCTAGAATGTTGTTAAATTAATTGTGCCTTCAGAGAAAAGAGAAAAAGGAATGAATTGAGGCTGTTGGGGCATTCTGTATGCTCCTGTTTTGTAAATTTCCTTTTAAATATTGTAATTTAAGAAATGAGAATTTCCAAGTTTTGTCTATGTTTAAAGGGAAGTTTTAGCGGGGATTATTTGGTTCTCATTTATGAAGTTTAAAATTGTTAACTAAGCTATTTGGAGTTATTGTTAAGTTGAGCACTTGTAAAAATATTTTGTGTGTGCGTGTGAAAAAGAAACCTAGTAATTATGCAAAAAAAAGATTTTGTAAAATCTCATAATTCTTATAGGCACCTTTGACTAGAGAATTTAGGTAATTAGGAATTTTATGGTAATTAGGAAATCGTAAGCTGTTTTTGAGAAAGGGAGATACTTTCATAAAAAAAAGTGTTTTGATAAAATCTTTGATATTCTTTTAGAGGGCCTACTAAATTTCTATTTGCAAGAAAAAATTATGTCCAAACCTACTACGAACTTAAGAGTTTCATTCCTGGGTTTGTTGTGTCCTTGGACTGGACTTAACTGGGTGCTTTTAGAGAAATAGTCTCAATGGAAGCAGCATCAGAGATCTAAGGCTAGTGATTAATACTAAAGCATATAAGCTGTAAGTAGCAAAGATCTTACTGTTTTGATCGGAATTCATTCCATGGCCTAGCAATAGTTAAAATTACTGTTTGAACTTATCACATGTATAGGATTCAAGTCCTAAAAGTGTCTCATTCTTTCAGATTAAGAATGGTTAGAAAGGAATAAATAAGTTTGAGAAACAGGCAAATTTATTTAGAATAGCAACTTATGATCTTAATGGAAACTTTGTTTTACTCAGGACATTATTAGGAATCAGAACATGTGTAGGAAGTTATGCAAACTACTTAGAGCTCACTTTGGAGATGTTCCCAATTAAACTATAGTCCCATCTGAAAACACTGATGAGGGGAATTTGCTATCTAAGACCTTGGGGACTGTTAATGAATTGTTGCTCTGAGTCTAACTCCAGGTATGGTTAATAAGGAACTGATTGAGCTACTGATCCATGACGTCAGCAACCTGCAAAGAGGTTTGTGAGTTGCACCTATGAGCTGCAAGAGGGTGTTCTCATGGGAAGGTCGGGAGAACGGCTTTTCTGCATGGCTGAGGTAGGAGTTTTCTGACTCAATTTCCCCACTATGATGCCTGGCAGACTTAAGTCTGGCTCAATGCAACTGGTCATATATATGTAACTTCTGCCTGGAGTTGACTCTAGGGAAGCATTGTTCCCTTACTTTAGTTATGTTCTTTCATGGCAAATTCCTACAATCATAAGTTTGTAAGCATAAATATCGAATCTATTAAACAATAGATTGACGTAGGAACATCTGAGGCTATAGGAAGATGTAAGTATAACATTGAGTTATTTAGCCTAGAATTTCAGAATTAAGTATTCAGTCTTGACATCTGTTACCAGTAAATACTCCTGTGTATAAGTCAGGGTCCTTTAATTTCCCATAATGGTTATGATGAGGTCTGGAGGTTTGGAAGTGCTAGGACTCCAAGTCACAACACGAGGATCCTGCCTGAAGGAGTTCAGCCCAGGTCTTCTTTTGACCAGGGGGAAAGTTTGTTGGAGATAAACCATATAGGCCAGTGAAGTGAAGTATAAGGGTTTTCTGGGGCCCATAGACAAATGGGAGCCAGATTCTCTCTGGGGCCAGGGGCAGAGGTCTTGGCTTGGATCCATATCCCATCAATAGGGGATAATTAGTTAAGAGATTGTGGAAATAGGATATTATTCTGTTACGTAGTTAATACTTAGTTAATGTTAAAGTTGTCTCAGTTTGTTGCAATTAATGTTAAAAGAGGAATAACTTATGGCTTATCTTGTAAATGCCTTGAAAGAAGCATCTATTTTAATTAAGGATTATTTATTTGTACATGATCAGAAGTTGGGATTGTTTTGTTATTTGTTATGTACTGGTTTTAAATTAACTACTATATATTGGAGTGTGTTAGTAACTCCTTAGTGGAATCTCATCCTCCTGATGGGGAATATGAATAGGAATAAATAATGAACTAATGCAAGGTATGGAACTAGAAGTAATTCAGAGTGTAGGGCTGGGTTCCAATTTTTCTAATTCAAGTTTCTTAAAATATGACAATTGGCCAAGGTTCCAATTTTGACCTTGTAATAGTGGAGACGTGGGGGTTGAGTTAACTTTCATTATTTGCCCTGGTTATTGGCAAGATCATTTAAAATTGTGTTAAGATCAATCTTGTA